TGCTGGGATTACATCATTCAACAGCTTGCAAGGCTGAGGAACTGACCCCCCCCCCCCGGCACTAATTTTAGCCTGGTCTACACCACACGGCTGGTTGAATGGCTCTTTCTGGTCAGTAAATCTCTATGCACACACACACGCATGCACACACACACACACACACACACACACACACACACACACACACACACACACACACACACACACACACACACATACACACACGCACACTACTACTACTACTACTACTACTACTACTACTACTACTACTACTACTACTACTACTACTATACTACTACTACTACTACTACTACTACTACTACTACTACTACTACTACTACTACTACTACTACTACTACTACTACTATGTACAGCTACCCTATCGGGCCACGCCGCTCCCAGAAGCGGGAGACAACGACAAGAAGAGAGAAGAGAAGAGAGAGAAATCGCAAAGTCAACAATATTTGGCATGGCGTGACAAGTCCTGTGGCCTTGAGAACCGTCTTTCGCAATGCTCGCATTCATGACGGCAGTTGTTCCTGGCTGCACGTGACATCCGTTTCGCACGGTCACAGTGATGACGGCTCAAACCAGAACGGGAGCAGAAAGAGCGGCGACAAACATCACATCGAAAAGAGTCAGATTCATGGCGAATAGATACAGTGGGGACATCCGTGGACACAGGACAGCGATGCACAGCCAGTCCTCCAGCGCTCCTCAACCACCGCATGCACTTTATACATTGCCTGGCACCCTTCTGTTGTGACACAGGCAACTTCCGCTGGGCAATGCACTTGTGTCGGGCCATGTCGTTACGGCGGCGGGAAGTCTCTGGCACACAGCAAGCAGCGCAAAGGTGGCGAATCATCTGTGTGCGGTGGTGGCTCAGCAAGGAACATCCTCCAGTTCTGCCGGTCTTGGGCATTCTGAAACCAGGAATCCACGCCAGCTGCCTTCATGTCTCTTTGGACAACGTCTTTCCAGCGCCGCCGGGGACCACAAGGACACACACACACACACACACACACACACACACACACACTTGTACTTGTTGCTCACTGCCAAAACTGGTCACGTGGGTCTCCCCGGGAGAGGGGAGAGAGACTCAAAGGAATCTTGGAAAGATGACTCAATTGGCTATTGAACGCCCCAACGGCCGACGCCCTCTGAAATCCCAAAACTCTGGGTGGACTTGAAAATGATCCCACTTATGGGCTCACCACACCTCAGTAAGTGGGTGAGGACAAGGTGCAGAAAAAGGATTGACGGCATCAGGGTATCCGTCCTGGGATCCAACTGCAGAACCCCTGCCCCCAGTGCACACACACATACACATACACATACACACATACACACACACGCATGCTTCCGTTACGATTGTTCCGATCCCTGTGGAGCATGTCTTTCCCTTTCTAGCTAGTCAGCCGGTGCATTCTTGCAAGGCATACAGATCTTTCAACGTCTACAGACATATATGTAGTCACTGATAGTTAAACAAACACAAAATATGGGCCGGATACACTGTGCGTGCATGTGTATGTGTGTATGTGTGTGTGTGTGTGTGTGTGTGTGTGTATGTGTGTGTGTGTGTGTGTGTGTGTGTGTGTGTGTGTGTGTGTGTGTGTGTGTGTGTGTGCCTACAGTCGCTTGGCTCGTTGCTAGTGTTCAGCGGTGTGGACAACAGCTGTGTGCTGAGGTGGTGCAGTTGTCTGGTGGAGGATGCCGCACGTGACCGGTATCTGACACGGGCGGTGAAGAGAGACCGGCACTCCGCACTGGCTGACTTCTTCCTGGGAAAGTGGAGTGGAAAAGCCAAGCCCTTCCGGTGTAAACAGAGGCAAGTACTGTTAAAAGCAGAAATTTTTCGGTGGTGTAATATTTTTGGTATTCTCCAAAATCGGCGGTTCGGTGGGCGGAAATTTTCGTTAAAAACCCAGTTTTCCAGGTAAGTGTACTAGTACTGCATGCATACCGTAAAGTCGCGGATAAAAGCCGGGCTTATAAGCACATAAGCCGGTTTCGGCATCAGGCTTTAATGCAAACCAGGCTTGTATGCAAACCATGCTTATATGCACTACTGACATTTTTCGCCAGGCTTGTATTCACGTTTACTATGCACTGTACATAGTGCATGCACTCTTGACCTACACGATCCGCGCTTGCACAGAAGCCAGGCTTCTACGCGCGACAGGCTTATATGCATTTGACCCCGTTTGATTTTCAGGCTTCTATCCGCGATGTGCTTGTATGCAAACCCGGCTTTTATCCGCGACTTTACGGTAGTTGTACCAGTAGTACCGGAATTTTCGGTGCGTTTTATTTTCGGTAAAAATTGACGGCACCGAAGTTACCGAAAAAAAGCACCACCGACAATTTCTGCCTTACAGTACTATCAGAACTCATAACATGTATAAGGCGACCACTCGAGTTAGGTAACCGCCTGTTCCGAAAGCGGACCACCCCAGCTAGGACCAAGCGGGGTTGCTACATCCAGTCAATTGGGTATGGATAAGGAGATGACCTGGTAACAGAGACCACGTTTTGAACGTTCCCTGAGTAGCCGTTTTAGACTGGTTTCATGAGTACGGCATTGTCCGGAGCAAAAGCCGCACTTTACACCCTTGTAATTCACCCTAAAAATCGATACTGCTTATACTATCTTCCTAAGGATGTGCAGACTCCACTGTAGCCACTTCATGCTTATACCATGGCGGTCAAATCAACCTTGAAATACAGGGTGAATGTCTGTATCTTGTGACAACAAATCTGGCTGTGGCTTATACTCCAGTGCGGCCCATACTCGTTAATATACTGGCATACATGAGAGAAACTTAATAATAATAATAATAATTCGCGGGATTCGCGTTGGCATTGCTTGAATGTTCAGAAACACACAAACTAGCCTTCGCTTCCGCAGGCCACCACTATGCCTATGCCTTGCACACCTTAGTGGCAAATGCAGACCTCACAAGTGAGTCAGGGGAGAGTAGGTGAGTCTCTCAACCAATCGGGCGTGTAACGGCCCATAACCCTGTAAACTGCATCCTTGTTACCCTCACTCTGAGCTGTGAGCACCCAGTTGACCGTGGGTGTCGGCGCAGTTCACCACGCATAAAAGTCCTTACACACGTAAAAAGTCTTTACACGCTCCCAGCTACCAGCGCGGGTCTCGAACCCGGGACCTCATGATTCGCAGGCAGGCCTGCAAACCAATCGGTCATATGTGTTGTTGCTGATGAGAGGGACTTCAGTATAATAATGTGTGATACTCTCTTGCTGTGCTGCGTAGAGTTGAAGATGGAATCCTAGCGACGGACAGCTCTGAGGACCGCGGCATCATGCTGCAGCCTCTGTGTTTCGGGGAATCCCCGGACAGTGTCGGTGTGAGTGCAATGAACGAGGCCAGCAAGAGTGCAATGAACGAGGCCAGCACGAGTGCGATGAACGAGGCTAATAGGAGTGCAATACAGGAGGCCAGTGTGAGTGCAATGACCGAGGCCAGCAAGAGTGCACTGTACGGCACCAGCACGAGTGCAATGAAGGGGACCAGCACAAGTGCTATGTACGAGGCAAGTGGCAGTGAACTGAATAAGGTCAGCACGAGTGCAATGCACGAGGCCTGCATGAGTGCAGTGAACGAGACCACTGCCAATGCAATGGACAAGGCTCGGGCGAGCGAATCCAAAAGGTACAACCTACGCAAGTTGAACGAGCTTCCCTACCAGCTTGTTGAGTCTGGTCGTCTGGAGGTGAGGAAGATTGAGAGCAGGGGTGGGGGGGGGGGGGGGGGGCTGGAGGGATGAGAAGTAGGGATGAATAGAAAGTGGATTGCAGGGGGGGGGGGGGGGAGGGGGCTTGCGCTAGGTGGATAATACTGGCAGAGAACGAGCAGAATTTGAGCAGAATTTGAGCAGAATTTGGTACTTTTCCGGTGTGTTTCATGAATGTTTGCCATACGAAGGAGGAAGAGGAGCAGAGTTTGAGGAATTGTCCGCTATAGACATGAAAGGAGAGATATGAAGAGAAAGAGATGAAAAGAAAGACTGGGTTTGTCAACTGAACCTACTCATCCCATTCCTATATGGAATACATAAAGTATAGAGAACTATTGTCAATTGAAAATTCACCTCTTTCCCTCCTTCCCTATCTATGTCTTTCTAGGAGGCTCCTGTAATTGGATATATGAATAGGAACGATCATTTGCTGCACAAATTCAGCGCAAGAAGGATATCAATCATTTGTGTTTTTTTAATTCTTTCGGCCGAGATCTTTTTCAAATGCTAACCTTACATCTTGTGCATTCTCTCTTTCAGGAGATTCGTCGTAGCTTGCTGAGTGATTACTCATGGATGCTGACAAAGATTCGTGCGTGCGGTGTGGCTGCACTGATTGCCGACTTTGACCCACTTGTACCCAGCTTGCCTCAAGTCATGTGAGTTCACGTGCCACGTTAAGTGCTCTTCATAACACTGGTGTCCAGTGTGTGTGTGTGTGTGTGTGTGTGTGTGTGTGTGTGTGTGTGTGTGTGTGTGTGTGTGTGTGTGTTTATGTGTGTGTGTGTGTGCGACTACCCGTGCACCTGGAGCATCATCGAGCGTCGTGTCCTCTCTCTCTCTCTTCTCAAGTTTCCCAGTGATGGGATCACGTGACCCTTTTGTGGCAGTGACTCTACAGGACAGGACAGGTGTGTGTGTGTGTATGCGTTAGTGTGTGTGCATGCACATGCGTGCATGTGTGCACATGGGGGTCTGAAATGGGGGCAATTACTTTTCTCTGCTATGCTCATGCTGTCTATGCAAACATGCCTGCTTGGGTGCGTGCAGGGAGGAGTGCCATGTATCCGAGGAGCTGCGACTTCTCCGCGACACCCTGCTCCTGGCAAGCCCGTCTCTGCGGCAGAACAGCGAACACCTTAGTGCCGAGCTGCTTACACGACTGCTACCTCTTGTCAGGAATGACCAAGCACATGAGAGGTAAGATGTGCACTGCAGAAAGAGTCATTGTGAGGTTTTTTGCGATTACATCATCGATAAGAAATGAAAGGGAAACGCCGATATCCCATAGTATTAACCAGGTACTTGACTGTGGGACATCGGCGTTCGGTTTGGTTACATCATCAGTTGAGACGCTTTAGCAAAGTCGCGGCACCGCACGGTGGACTAGCAAAACCATGGAAACCACCGATACAAACTGTATACTCAGTTTCCGTAAGCAGTTTCGCTGACTCACCAAGCGCCGAAATGGTTTGTTCAAACGTGCGGCTCGCTCGGTGTGCAAGGCAGCCCCTCGCACTCACACGGCTCCCTTACTTGAACGCATGAACGCCCATACCCTCAGCATATACACCCACCTGCACATTATTGTACTCATTTGGCGCTGCCTGAACAAATTTTCAAGTACTCTGTTTGCAAGCTCTTTCACCCGTAGTCCCTCTCTCTGAACACGAGGAGGGAGAAGCAAGTTACTCATCATTCCTGTGTCCACCACTGCATCCTCAGCTAAGCGCATTAGCCATGCTGGAGCTATCCTGTGGAACTAGCTCGCCTGACACAGCACGCCTCGAAAGAAAGCGCTCTACTTTCAAATCGCTAAGCCTGGCCTTTCTGTTAGGCAGTACCCTCAACTAGGATGAACTCATCTGCTTCACTACCTCTCTCTCTCTCTCTCTCTCTCTCTCTCTCTCTCTCTCTCTCTCTCTCTCTCTCTCTCTCTCTCTCTCTCTCTCTCTCTCTCTCTCTCTCTCTCTCTCTCTCTCTCTCTCTCTCTCGCTCTCTCTCTCTTTCTCTCTCTCTCTCTCTCTCTCTCTCTCTCTCTCTCTCTCTCTCTCTCTCTCTCTCTCTCTCTCTCTCTCTCTCTCTCTCTCTCTCTCCTTTCTTCCCGGTTTCCGTGCTTGGACATTTTTTCCCCTGCTGTCGTGCTCATATTAGTTATCTAACTACAGCTGTATCTTCTTCTTTGTTCTGTTTGTCCGCTTATTTTTATATTTTTTCTTTTCTCTTATTATCAGTGGGACCATTGTCATTAGGTTTAGGCCTGTTTTGGAACTCCACTCTAAATAAAGCCAAACAACAACACAACAACCACCATGACATCGCAGGGCCGGCGGAACCGGTCAGGCTGGTCCGGCCATGGCCGGACCACTTTCCCAGCTGGATGGTCCATGTGATTCGTGCAAAACCGGTGTAAAAATCCAGAGGTACACGACTCGACTGTACTGCCGACGTGTGATGTGCTTCGAAGTAGCTCAGGACTCCATGACCGGCACTGTATGGCTTTAATCATACGGTTAAAAAAAGTTGTGTTTGTGTTCTTTTACTATAATTTTCTGCATTTTCTGGAGCCTTAAGAGACGCCCAAATTCGCTCTATTTCACGTAAATTTTAAATATTTCTCCCGGCGGAGGTCCCCCGGACCCCCCCCCCCCCTCAAAGGTTGGCCGGACCACTCCCAAACTCCTTCCTCCGGCCCTGCATCGTTCGCATAACCCCTCTGTAAACGTAGTTGTTTCGACAAGTAAAAGAGGATGATAATCAAGTTGTTTTCATCACACACACTACGCATGTTTGGAGGTGGCTGCAAAGGGGTTAGCGAATTTATCCAAGTTTGTTGTCATCATCATATTCATCATTGCCATTTTTCATCTTTCTGTCTCTTTCATACAAACTTTAGGTCTCGGTTGCACAATCTCATCAAAGCGTCAAGAGACACGACGGTATCGAGCTTGACACCACTCGCCTGTCCGTTTAGAACGGCCGGTCAGCATGTGATGTCAAAGCTCCGGTCGCACAGCCAAGCTGTCACTTGTCTAGCCCTGAAGGTAATGGATGTGAGCATGGATGTGTAGGTGTGTGTGTGTGTGTGTGTGGGTGTGTTTGTTTGTGTGTGTGTGTGTGGGTGTGTGCGAGCGTGCGCGAGCACGTGCATGTGTGTATGCGTTCGTGCACGGGTTGTTTGGCGGGGTGGGCATGAAACATGTTGCTGTTCCAAGCGTTCGAGCTCACACATCAGGGGCGTCGGAAGGTAATTTAGTGTGGTACGGTCAGCCAACTGAAGTACAATTCACTCGTGTGGGAGGGATGGCTGAGCCGAAAATTTTGGGAAGTTAGAGCCCAAATCAGTGTATTTTATTGGCTCACAGGGTACTTGGGGTGCATAGTGGTACGGTCAATACCGTAGTGACCGTACCGTGTCCGACGCCCCTGCACATTTTGCTTTACAGTTCACAGACTCATTACTGCCATCTAGAGCGCACAAGCAAACAAATTCTTCATATATTCCCGCCGAAGTCGCAACATATTGGTATGCAAGTATAGTACACACGTTGCCCTGTTGTGTGTGATTTCCCCGGCATATCTAGGTTGTCCCTGGCAGCAGAGACCCGTTGCAATGCGGCGCGTACCAGAGCCTAGTGTTGGTGAGCGGAAGCAATGATCGCACAGCTCGCTACTGGGATCCATTCAGCGGCGACATGGAGCAGATGCTGGAAGGTCACCAGTCACCAGTCACCTGCCTGGATCTGGACAAGACTGGAGAGCTGTGCGTCACCGGGGATGAGCAAGGAGTGTTGCGGTGAGTCATGTGGTAGTTTATGTTTGTGCAGTTTGGCAATTGTACCCGTTGGCCATTGCGTCGTGTGGTCATTGTGCTGTTTGGCCACTGTGACTGTACCGTTTGGCCAGTGCAATGTTTGGCCATTGTGCTATTTGGCGTGAGTCTAGTCTTGTCACGTCGTCGCCGTCTCTGCACAGGAACTGCCCTCAAACTATCACTGGGTTTTAACAGCCTATTGTATGTGTACTGTATGCTATAAAGCCATACACCAATGCAGGAACAGTTGGCTTACACTTCCAGGTGAAGGAAAAGCATAGATTTCACTGTAGCTTTGTTTGTGCTTTGTGTTCATTTTATGCGTGCAGTGTGTGGACGGTGAAAACTGGAGTCTGTGAGGCCGTCATGACCGGGCACAGCGGTAGAGTGAACGACCTGTGTGTTCTCAGCCACTCGCACCGTACAGTGTCGGTGGGCCAGGACGGTACCGTACGCTTTTGGAACACCGACCTCGTCAGTAGGTGAGTTCTGGAGCATACTGAAAGTCGACAGATATTCGGCGCATATTTATTTTTGGCTATTTTTTATATTTTTAATCATTCAACATCTACCTTCACTGATGAGCTATGTATTAGCGAAACAGCTGTCTGAAGGAGTTCATCAATATCGTCTACGGAAGTGTCCTCGCAATGGTGATGGTTGTGTGCAGGAGGGTCTAGTCGCCTAAAGAGCGCAGTGTAATGGTGGAGGTGACTCAACATTTTCTTCAATGGCCGAGAGCTCTGTCGCATCCTGTAAAAATATTTTCGGCCTGGTCATATTTGGCCGAATATTTTTGTGGCCGAAATTTTGTTTTGCAAGTTTCAGTGTGACAGTGTAAACAGGCAGCAGCAGTACAGGCCAACATCTAATGAGCCTGAAATGTGTTTTAGCCCTGGGAGGCCGGAATGTGAATGGGCCGAACAATTGTAGACTTAGAGTACAGTTGGGTTTGCTCAATGTGTATGTGTTGCGAATTTGTATTACGACTATGATTTACGCATGTCGTTGTATTTGGTTCTTGTCTTGTGGAGTCCAGTGTCTGAATGTCATATATGGTCTAAGTGTACGCGCGAGTATGGTGTGATGTGTGACGTTTATGGTATGTGGTACATGCAAGAGTACGCGTTGTCAGAGAGTGAGGATGTGCTTCCGTCTGTGTGAGAGTGACTGTCAAGTGAATGCTGTACATGCGCAGTGCTAGTTTGGTCTGGGAATGAGAGTCATGTGTGATTCGTCCGTGGTCTGGTTGTCTTGGCCTTGGTCATGTGTTCTGTACGTATTAGTCCCTGATTGGTCGTTTCGATGTGTTCGCCCTTTTCTCTGTTTTATAACTGTTGGTTGTTTATTATTTCTTTGTCTTTTCTCCCCCGTTCTCCCGCCCGCCAGTTAGTTATTTATTCCAAGAGATATTATTCAAGAAACTGTGTCGTCCTCTTGCCCGCGTGGATGAGTCGGAGAGTGGTTGTGTGGCGGGGGGAAATTCCACAACATATGTGCACTAGCTTAAGTTAGTGACTAACTTCTGTTTTCTCCGTTGTGGACGAAACCTCTTACAAGCAGAGCATAATATCGGTGAATAATCTCGTCCACTCCAAGAGGAAGCCAGGTCCTCCTGTCAAACACTTTGCCAACAGATTCTAATACCGTGTCGAACGATTTTCCACATTGCTGCGAGTCCAGCATTGATTTATATCCAAAGACTTGATAGACGTAGAGCGAAAATTTCATATTCCTTGCGAATGGTTTGTGTGTGTGTGTGTGTGTGTGTGTGTGTGTGTGTGTGTGTATGTGTGTGTGTGTGTGTGTGTGTGTGTGTGTGTGTGTGTGTGTGTGTGTGTGCGTGTGTGTGCGTGTGTGTTTTTGTGTGCTACATCCTTCAGCGGCCTTGGCAAGGAGTTATTCAAACTGGAAAGTCCTGTGCAAGCAAGCAGCAACCATGACAACAGTCTTCACAGCATTGTACTGTCCTGCGATGAGTCACGGCTGTACACGGGCGGGGCCAGTGGAGAGGTGGCCGTCTGGGGTCAGCTGAGCGGGGAGCTGCAGACCGTGCTGCAGTTCCACACCGCAGCTGTGTCCGGGCTAGCTGCTGTGACTGGCAGGTGAGATCGTGTTCTCGTCTGTGTGTGCCGTCGTGCTCGTGTGTGCGTGCGAATGTGCCGACACGCGTATATGTTCACGGTAGATGTCGCATGTCATCGCGTTCCAAGTCCGAGCGCCGAATACTCTAGAAGATCACTCGGCGTCAGACCTCATGTCCCATGTTGTGAACATATTTCCGTTGTCATGTGCTTTTCTGTTATCGCCCATGGTTACTGAAGCAAACAGAAAAGTCAGCCAGTGGGAGTTCAGATTGGCAAGAAAGCGGGCTAAAGATGGCCCCGACTACACTTTAGGAGCATTCACTTAGACTAGAGTTTGACAGTCTGTAGCTGGGTGTTAGGAGCATTTGTTCTTGTTATTCCTCAATTCCACATTGTACTTTAACCATTGTGTTCACCAGACTTGCAACTTTCATCTTCTCTTCTTCACTCTCTTGTCCTGCATGGGAACGTTTATGCGCGTGTGTGTGTGTGTGTGTGTGTGTGTGTGTGTGTGTGTGTGTGTGTGTGTGTATGTATGTGTGTGTGTGAGTGTGTTTGTGTGTGTGTGTGTGCTTGTGTGTGTGTGTGCATGTGTGTGTGTGTGTGTGTGTGTATGTGTGTGTGTGCGTGTATATGTGTGCATGTGAGCGTGCATGTGTGTGTGTGTGCGTGTGTGCATGCGTGCGTGTACACGGATGCACCGTGCACGTTTGCCGTGTGTGTATGCGATTTCATGCGGTTGATGCCACAGACCAAACCAAGTTGTGTCCGGCTCGCACGACAGAGCAATAGCGCTGTGGGATACCTCTCGGCCACAGCGTCCAATCACAATCTTCCGCGGTCACACGGCACCGGTTAGTGGTGTTACCGTCGACGACTCACGCCACCGCATCTTCAGCTGCGCACTCGACTCCACCGTCCGTGTCTGGGACATCTCGACGGCGGCGAAGCTTCTCGTGGTAACCGTTGACTACCAGCCGCTTGCGGTGTTAAAGGGGGTCAACGGACGCTATGCGCTAACGGCACTGTCCGATGGCACGGTGACCGCTCTGGATTTGGACGCCGATCCGTACTGCTCCGCACCACGATGTCATCGCGGAAGAACGACGGCTCTCGTTGCCCAGGGCAACACGGTCATATCGGGCAGCCAGGATGGCGGCGTGTTTGAACGCTCGCTGCTGCACGACGGCGGCGGCTATGGTGAAACAGTGAGGAGCTCGCTAAACTGTGACAGTCCGGTGCGAGCTCTGTCACTACTGTCACACAGTGGTGATGACGAACCACTGGCTTTCCTGTCGGCCCATGCCAGCGGTAAGATGCATCACTGGCAGCGGGTTAAGACGGATGGTGCAGCTCCTGACACAACGACGAAACACGCCGCTTGGACCAACGTGCGTACATTCATCAAGCACCGCAAGCCAGTGAATGCGTTGCTGCAACTTCAGGCCAGGGTGGCGGTGACGTCGTCCGACGACAGTACTAGTCTTATCTGGGACATCTGGTCCGGCCAAGTGCTTTCTCGCCTGATTGGTCATCGAGCTCCGCTCACGGCTAGTGCACTTTGCCGTCCGAACAACGGAGGGATTACTCTGGTGGTAACCGCCTCGAAAGACGGCACCGCAAACGCGTACGACATCACTGCTACACTGGATGACGTCATCAATGAGTCATCCGCGACGTCAAGCCAGTCGTCGCCAACGGCCGAACACTTGGTCATCGCGGACGTGAGGCCCGTCTTTCAGCTGCGACCTGTGCACTCGAGTCCTCTCAGCGCGGTTACAGCTAGCGCAGACGGTACGAGCATATTCACGGCGACAACAGGCGGCGAACTCTCCAGCTGGTCTTCTACGGATGGGTCTCCACTGCACTCGCACACTTGTCAATTTCCCGTGACATTCTTGTGCCCGCTAGGTGACCTTCTAGCCATTGGCGACACGCAGACTTGCATCAAGGTGTGCCGGTCGCTGGCAACGTTGGAAGACCCGGTGGCATCCGTAATGCCCGAGGACGGCATCACCGCGTTTACGTGCGGCCAATCCAGTGATGGCAGCAGCAGCAGCAGCAGCAGCAGTAGTAGCGCCAGCGGCAGCTTTGTTGCCTGGGGCAACAAACACGGTCAGGTGCACTGTGCTCTGCTGCGCCATGGCAACGAAGCACCGCTTCAGCTGGAGTGCATCAGGCCTGCGCGACCGACGCAGCCCGCAGGCTCATCCACAGCATTGTCTGCCATCCCTATCACATCATTTGCTTCTACAGGGACATCGTCTAACGCACCACTGACATCATCTGATGCTACATCATCAGTTGGTCGACAAACAGTCCACCAGCACGCGGTTGATGCCAGTCAACTTAACCAGTTGCAGCGTTCACCGGCGGCAACCACAGCAATGGTAGATCCTGCAGCCAACAGATCGCCACGGAGCAAAGTTGCCCAGGCTCCAGGCGGTACCGTATCTCCAGCTAGCGCATTCCGAATCCACCGTGACCATCGTGGAGATTATGACGATGATGATGATGTTGACGGTCGTGATGGACAGGAGGCGAGCACTCCTTGTGACTATGTACACAAACAGTACGCTGGCAGCAGCCGGTCAAACCGCGTCCCCAGCACTCTGGACGCGACGCGTGCAGAGCCCGCCGTTATGACGATGAGTTCTCGCGACGAGGACGCTGAACCTGGCGAGAGCACACCTCACCATTGTAATGCGGCGATCAGTTCGGCCAATGATGACGTCATAAGTGCTGATAAGCCACCGACGGACAAAGCTTTCGCGGATGGACCGGGATGTTCGCCGGAATTGAACCCTGGAGACGAAAAACGAGGCGGCGAAGCAGGTCCCGCGGCGAACCAGCACGCTGGAAGCAAGGCATGCATTCTGCTGTGACACTCTCGGCTAGGGTCTGCACTGCGGCTGCTTTCGCTGCTACTGGTGCTGCTACTGTTGCTGGTGCTGGTGCTGCTACTGGTACTGGTGCTGCTACTGGTGATGGTGCTGCTACTGGTGCTGGTGCTGCTACTGTTGCTGGTGCTGCTGCTGGTGCTGCTACTGGTGCTGGTGCTGCTGCTGGTGCTCCCAGTGCCAGCGCACCATGCTGTACACATTGCTTTGCACCGGAGTGATCTAGACTGAACGTACTGCTTGAAAGTGATCGACGCATGTGATGCAGAGTCCCACTCCACAGCTTGACCAGATCACACATGTACTGCTATCTTGCCACGCTACCAGTAGATATCACGCCAGTAGGTTACGATTATAGTAAGCTGTTCATTTTAGTCAAGCATAGTCCACAGATGATAACCCTTTAAACAATAACAAGGTGATGAGAAAAGTGTTTTAACTGTTTCACGCACTAAGCGATCCTCAGAAAACAGCCTTTAATGCGCGTAGAACTCTGAATAGAGACAGTGAGTTACACCTGGTATTTCCAGTAGGCTTGCATTTGGCACATTGCTTTGGATAATAGCAGGCATTGTTACTACAAGAATCCTATCTTGACTTGACTGCCCAGTAGATAGTTTTGTGGATTTTTCAACACACAATATTTCACCTTGGTTGTCACTTTTTGTGGACTTGCTCTGCAGATATGCATTGTTTTATAGAATTTACTACGTTAGCATAATAGATATGGTACGTCCGGGCCTGGTTTAAATCTGGCCGCTTGGAAAGTATCGATGAAACGAAAAAGATATTTTCATTGTTATCAAGTCCGGCCTCATTACCTCTGTGCTGCCCTGACGAGTCCACAAAGAATGAAAAAGTTCTGTTTACAGGTTGAGTAGATATTGTAGTTGTTTCCACCATCATCACTCCTCCTCTATGCACTCTCAGACGACACGTTGCTACCCTCGGTAGAAGACGAGGAGAGATTACTGAACAGGCGAATGGTACCGTACACAATTCTATTGTTTTCACCATGTCTGATCATATCAAGGTGGTGAGATGCAGCTCCTGGCGGCGAGGCTGACATACTGTAAGCTCACCAGCTGCGGTGCAGGATACTTGGCAACACCCCGTCAGCTGCATCGATATCACCATGGCAACCGACACTCAGAGTGGTGAGTGTGGCAAGTAAAAAAAGGCCAATTATAGTGTCCGTTCTCCGAAGGGAATTCACGACGGCCGCGAACACCCGGCAAACCCTAGCGGCAGATGCAGCGCCTAACGATGGGGGCGAGGGGATAAATCTCACAACCATTGGCAAAAGTGCCGAGAAAATCCCATTCGCCGCATGCATGTACCCCATTGTGCCCAGCCACAAGTTCCCAGTTGACTGTGGGTAGCAGCACGGCTGGAAAAACCGCTCCCGGGCAGGACTTGAACCAGAGTGTGGCGAGTGCAGTACCAATAAACTAAAAATACAGTCAGACCTCGTTTATCCGGTCCTCCTTTTATCCGAATCGCTCGCCATCCGGAAGAAAATCGTTGGTAACCGATTTACAGAATATGCCATGCATGTTGTTGTTGTTGTTGCTGCTGCTGCTACTGCTACAGCAGCTACTGCTGTGGCTGTAGTTACAGCCCCTCTCGTTGTCAGGAAATGTTTGCTTGTGCTACTTCTCATCAAGTTGACTTCTTATTATGACTTTGTATGCTATAATTTTCTTGAGCTCCGGTTTTCCCCTTCATTATAACTCAAGCGCAGTTTAGCGTGTATTGGCTTGTGATTTCCTTTCTTCTGTTTGCTTGGCATTTTATCGCTCCACAGGTACCCTCGGTCTCAGGTGCTCTCACATTTGTGCAATTGTTGATTTTGCTCCTGAATTGTCCTCCCTGTTGCTTTGCTACCATCCTCCTCCTTCCTCCACCTTTTTTTCTTTAAAATTGGCCTCATTATGGCATTCGCTTCCATGTAATTGGGCTTGTAGCCCGTGTGTACTTGCGAATTCAAATAAAAATATACATACATACATACATACATACATACATACATACATACACAACTTACAGTATGTGTGTTCGATTATCCGGTTCCCTCGCCTATCCGGATATGTTTGTGGAAAACGGAAGTGTGCGGTTAAGCGAGGTGTGACTGCAGCACTAGTAGTACAGTACGATCGGACGCCGAAGAACACTTAGGACATGACGGCTGTGATCGCATCGCACGATGCTCTCCATGATCACATCGCACGATGCTCTCCATGATCGCATCGCATGATGCTCTCCATGATCGCATCACACGATGTTCTCCATGATCGCATCGCACGATGCTCTCCATGATCGCATCGCATGATGCTCTCCATGATCGCATCCCACGATGTTCTCCATGATCGCATCGCACGATGCTCTCCATGATCGCATCGCACGATGCTCTCCATGATCGCATCGCATGATGCTCTCCATGATCGCATCACACGATGTTCTCCATGATCGCATCGCACGATGCTCTCCATAAATCGTATCGCACGATGCTCTCCTTTATCGCATCGCACGATGCTCTCCATGATCGCATCGCACGATGCTCTCCATGATCGCATCACACGATGCTCTCCATGATCGCATCGCACGAAGCTCTCCATGATCGCATCACACGATGCTCTCCATGATCGCGGACTCAGATAAGAACAAAATGACTCAAATCTGAACTCACCTTCTGACTGCTTGTTATCTCTTGTGACAGCGGGTGGATAGTTGCGTCATAACTCGTTTCCATGTGATTTCTTCTATTATAATTATATTTATTGGCTCAGTATCCGTGTTTCCAACTCTATTGAACACACAATCTACTCGTAAGACGAGGTGGGAGAAGTAGCAAAACAAAACTCCATAAATAAAGCAGTGAATAAACCTGCTCGCACTCATAATGATCACAAACATAGCAATAATAGCTTTCATTCTGTCAATTCGCTGTTCGTTCGTTCATGCAATGCCAATGTCTGCACCTCCGTGTAGCCATTGGCGGACTATGCTCGGCCAATCGTCAAATTATGCTTTTGATTATGCCACAGTTATGCGAACAAATATGCTGAATTATGCTCGGTTCCACTATGTATTCACGCTGTACATAGAGGATTGAGAAACCACGCATACACACACGGCCATGCCCTAAGCATAATTTTTGTCTAAACCGAAAGATTATGCCGACCTTACACGTTGGAATCCGTATATTATGCCGGAGCATAATTTTTTGACGAAATCCCAAGATTATGCCAAATATTATGCCGGCATAATCCGCCAAGGGCTATGACAAGGAGTCGTAACTGGGGTATTTAAAAAAAAAACATCTGCAGGCTTTCTGACAAAGCTGTATTATACGCCTAAGCATAATTTTTGTCTAAACCGAAAGATCATGCCGACCTTACACGTTGGAATCCGTATATTACGCCGGAGCATAAATTTTTGACGAAATCCCAAGATTATGCCAAATATTATGCTGGCATAATCCGCCAAGGGCTACCTCCGTGTCTTATTCTTTGTCTCACAGTTGATTTAACTCGGATACTGAGCCAATAAAATGTAATAATGAGTTGCTTCGTAACTCGTTTCCATGTGAATTCCTCACAGTTGATGTTCAAAATATACATGAACAAGAAAACAAAACTCCCACAACGGCCCTCGTATTTCAGAACTTACTTGAGCCATTTCGCAACACGTATCCACAGAATTGCCAGAGCATCCAGCAACGAGTTGACCATCAGAGGAAATACTATCAAAACGAAAGACACCGGTTTGACCTCCACAACGTAACCTGAAAAAATGGAAAAAAAGTTGCCCAGCTCCCTACTCCTATCCGACTGGCTGACCAAACTGAGAAGACAATTCAGAAATACCTTTTCCTAGACATAAATTTGTAAGTAAGTACTTAAGTATTAGTTGTGATACATGCCCTGTACGCATGCGCAGCGCGCAATGACTGACAGATAACTTACTACTGTAAAACGATAAACTTTCACGGCGCACAAATTACTGTAAGACATGTATATATAACGAGGAAGCAAATCATTCTAACGTTTTAACGGATGACATTTCTTCGTTATAATAGATCCGTTGAGGCCGTACTGCTTCATATATGCTGTGTGTGTATATGGCAGAATACTGCAAGATTGTTAACATAATCTTCTCGTTAACCTATGAATTTTGGACAATCGTTAAATTTGCGACTCGTTATAATAACATGTCTTACAGTATGCTTCTTCATTAAATTGGGCCGGCTCACGATGAGAATCTTTTGCGATGGTATGGCTTCAGTCGGATCTTGCACTGTCTACGATCAATATACTGAGCCGTTTGCGGCGATGTATATTAGCAAAGTTCAATCGCTAGCGAAAGTTTCTCACTTTGCAGTAGCTTCTTCTAACGGTACGACAATGTTCAGTATCAGATTGACTTACCTGGTACAAACTGTCACGAAAGAGAACTACAGTAAATCCTGTAACTAACGACCACCCCTTGGCCTTGGTGCCCGAAAAAGTGGTCTTTAGTGGCAGGTGGTCCTTAGTTGGAGGTTTTCACCGCACAGCCATATCACCATAAGTATTGTGAATGTGAGACCGTCCGTGCCTGCGGTCTGTAGTACATGTACCAGGCTGGTGATCAGCCTCTTTTACGTGCAAAATACACACAATGAATATGTTTTCCCAAGTGTTCCAAAAACTTCAACTCACCAGGCTCACCGGGCTGGTCGCTAGTCACGTGACGGTGGTCTTTTGATACAGGTTATACTGTACTTGCAATAAGCATAGTATGTGAAGCCAGTGCTGTTGTACAACTGTGCGACATGGGGTCTCACAGATGCCACCACCAGAGGGATTGCCACCTTTCATCGAAGGCATCTGAGAACAATGGCTGGCGTTAAGTTCCCGAACACAATTATTACCAACAAGCATCTGTACGACATCTGCGGCTCAGCACCAATTTCGCTCGAGATTGACCAACGGCGTTGGGAGTTCCTTGGCCACGTACTGAGAATGCAGAAGAGCTCTCCCCCACAGCGCGTGTTGGAGTTTTCAGCCACCGCGAGCCTGCGCGGTCGACTGGGCCGACCCAGCACAACTCTCCTCTCAGCTCTTTCTCAGGACTGCCAAGCCCGACTCGGCATTCGCCTGGGCACGCTTTTAGAGGCCTTAATCAGCTGCGGCAGTTGGCAGGGGATAAGTCACGGTGGAATGGCACCCCGCGGCACTCATCTTCCTCTGCCGAGCCGCGTCCTTGACTTATCCCCTGCAGGGTGAACATCGTGCACGAACAGTCTACCGTCTTTCTGACATTGCCACTCGAACTTGACAATAGAAGCTGCTTTTCGATGTGCAGTTACATTGAGCCATGGTGTTTTTGTCTTATGTTTGTGAATCCTTCCCGGAAGCAAATGCTGGTTTTTATGCATTCGTGTAATTACTCAGCGTTATTTGCAATAATAATAAGCATAGACCCAGACACGTACATTACGTGAGTACACCAATCAAGTGGTCGTGCATACCATTCACCAAGAATCACCAAGAACGTTTATGACCTCTTGCTAGCCCTTTCCCAAAGGTGCTCGCCCTTTTTTCGCCCTTTTTGGCCCTTTTTGGAAAAGCCCGTTTCTTTCGCCCTTTATTGCGTTTTTTGGTGAATATCGCCCTTTTTGAGCTTTTTTAGCTGAAAAGTGCCAAAATCTGTTTGCTCATGCATGCGATCACAGTTTCCGAGTGCTCGATGGGCCTTGGCACGCCGCTTTTTGGGGGGCATTTTTTGTTTGTTGGTGAAGCTCAGGGAGTCGTCAAATATA